GTCACAACCTTACACGCGCGTGACCTTACTCACAAGCGCAGCGATTTGTCAGCAATCGGGCCACGTGCGGCCACCTCGTCTCTCCCCCGTCGTACACCCAAAAAAACAAACAAAAAAACCTGATTTCGCTTTGTGGTCAACCCAAATTTTGTATAGACGTTTTGCAGCAGCTGTGCATATGAACGCCGCCATAACAACACCTTCAGTTTTTGTTTCCTCTTATTCACTTCACTCGGTCATTACCGCAGCAAGACATATGTTCTTGCCATTTTATATTCTACCGCGTCCTTCACCCCCAGCACTGGCTCGGCATCTAGTCAAGACAAGAGAAGGTCAGCAATGGCGGCTGTAATCTGGTGCGTGTGTCGCAATGAGAGACGGCATGCAGCGAGGAGCTTCAGTTGTATATCGTCTCAAGCGCGAGCTTTATACCGTCAACAAATCTGGCGCGTCTCGTGCTCCTCGATCGCGCAGCCAAAGCACGGTGGAAGGCATGTCGAACGTACTGGAGGCTGTCCGATCGAAACGAAAGACACTCCCTGCCCTTCTTACTCTGGCAGTGACTAGAATGTGCAAATGAGACTATAATATGCCGCACAAGCCGTTTTAAGAGCCTCGGGCAGCACGACGGAAGGCATAGAACACGCACTGCCGTTCTCGTTCTTTCAGGGACTACTGTATGTCGGATCAGACGACGGGTATACGACGGGAGTAACGTTCTCCCGAGTCCCAGCTATATATGCGTCTTGACAAAACGCTTTCGCAAGAGTAGCTCCGTCGCACGAACTTAATATCGGCTAGATACGCCGAGGGTGCACAGAGATTGATGGACTCGGTGTCTCCGAGCAAACAAGCAACGTCGTCAAAGGTGGCGTGCGGTTAATCTGCAGCCTGCCCTAAATGCAATAAAGGCCAAGGTTGATACGCGCTCAGAGTATAATAAAGGCGGGCTTCGGGCGAGTTCAAGGAGTCTCTCGTCAATCGGTCGAAACCCGCACGCAGCCAAAAGTCCGTTCACCTTAGAGGGTTGGAGTAAATCGCCTTGGTGTGTGTACCCGCCCGTCTTGTGTAGGGGGGTGACATCGGACCATGGCGTGGTATACGCAGTTTCTTTTTCCTTTCTTTTTTTGTCATGGAGAACGGAAAATAGCGTCTTTCGGCTCGAGGTTTTTACACTCCGCGGTAAAGAAGGTTAGTGGCCTATTTGGTGCTCAATAAGGTTCAAAAGAGACAGACGCAAGATAATAAATAGACAGGGGCAGGCGCTACATGTCCTGTCACCCTCTTCTCTTTGTCTCTTTTGAGCTAGTATATTTGAATCTCTCTCGCTCTCTCGTTATACTCTGTTTCACCTTAAGATGGACCGCAGCGGAAGCTACGAGCCATTCCAGCCAATCGAAGTGCCGTGAACGTATACCACGTGACTGCGCGACCTGCGCGTCACTGCATGGGCTCATTTCAGAGGTCACGTGAAACACGCACGGCATTGCATTAATTGCAGCGTCCTCCGCGCTCCACTGTAAAGTGAAAAAGTGGTATACACCAACACGCGGCTCTGACGTGCACGCAGCATGCGGTGGCGCTGCAGTCGACGCGGCGCATGGGCAGACGTATCACATGACGCGGACATGGTTCCTGCGCACGCGCAGCAGCTCCCACACGTGGTGCGTAGGCAAACGCGGACTTGTTTGTCAAGCACACGGACTTGTTTGTCAACAGCGTGTTGGTTTATGTTGGGAGTATGTGAAGCCACTACATGAGGTATATTATACGCTTAGAATATCGGCACTCTGTTCCCCGATCTGCTAAGTGGACACCAAAATGTTGGTGCTTAGAGCGGAGCAGACGACACTGTTGGTCGTCACAAACTAAAAAAACAAACAAACAAAAAAAACCGAGTTTTTCAGCTTTAGACACGGTGGTAAGTGCAGCTCGGATGATATCGTTCTGGTTTGTCGCGAACTGTTCTCACATTTCTAAAAAATACAGAAAAAAAAAAAAAAAACGTTTCTTGCGATTTTAAACAAAAGCTTCAGGCAACTGGCAGCCATGATTTTAAGCACCAAGATGGCTGGAGTAAAGTTACTTTGAAGCGTAGCATATCTAGTGGCTCTATAGTTGTAAGTATCTGGCGGCCATTGCTGTGTGCGCGACTGCTGAGCGCGTGCAGATGGCGAGCTTCCCACGGTTATTTTGCAACGTGCATTCGACACCATCGAGATTACCGGTCTTAGCAGCCTATTAATGAGATCTCGTTCTGAGCGTGCACGCATCAAACGGCGCTCTCGAATACGGCGTGCAGTGAATACCTCCTCCCGCTTGGTTTGCGGCCATTTCGAATCATTCTATTTCATTTGTGTATTTCGCTCGGTAATTGCGTGCTGAAATACTGAGTATGACCACAAGTGGCACAACCCTCAAAACATTGGGAAATATTACTCTAGATCAGTAATGGCGGCAGTAGAAAGGGGAAAGAAACATTATGCCTCTTCTTTTTGCATAATGTTAAGAGTGTGCCTTGCGCTCGAGGTAAACTTGCGTTCACTAAGTGTAACGCGCTCACGCTTTGGAATTTTCATATAAATCACACAAATATACCCACCAAAAATAAAAAGCGGAAGCCGGTATAAAGCGTGCACGATAAAAGTCCTGCCCCAGAGAAAAATAATATATGAATCTGTTCAATAAAAATACGAGAACAAGTAAAATAATCGAGGAACTTATATACGTCATAATATTATTTCTTTTTTTTTTTCGTAAAATCCATAATGTTTATTTGTCAATACGCGAGATATTTATATTTTGAATAAAGTGGGCCTTGTGTGCTGAATAAAATTGTTCCAAGCAAGTATAATTTTTAATTAAATTTTTTTTACTAACAAAATGGAGATTTTATGGATGAGTCAACGGTCCAAGGCTAAGCGTTGATGTAAGAAACAAACAAGGTAAGACGCTAGTTTTATGATCGCAGAATAAAACAAAATGAATACAAATTATCCTGTACATAAACATTCTCTGAACGTAACAGGATCGTAGACGCAGTTCTGTTCCCTGGCCAAAAAAACAGGCTGGCAGAACAGTCCCGGAGACAGCGTATCATCCAACCAGAGCACGCACGGTCGTTTCCTCCTCGCTAGACGGCGCTCTAAAGGGCAGCACCCCATGCCCAGCAGAGCTACATAGCAGTCTGGGTGTGTCCCCGACATAAACTTCGGTTATAACATGGGCCAGTCGGTCTTACCACGTTATGAACGGTAATACCCGAGGAGCCTGCCAGGCTAGGGCTGTAAAAAAATCAGGATGGTATATAACCTTTCCATTTTGGCACGGTTTGGTTCTGTCGACGACGGGGATGCAATCAGGGTGTGGTCCTTATGTTTTCCTACGTTTACACTGAAATAAATGAATGAGTGGGTGGACAGATGGATGGACGGACGGACGAATGGATTCTGCTAGACGGACACCACTTAGAAGACAAGGCCAGCGCCTGACGCCATCGTTAGTAGAGACCCGACCCGCCGGCTTTGTTTTCAAGGGGTATCAGGGAAACCCATCGGCTTATGACAACTAATGACAACAAGCCAGTGTTTTGAATTCGAACAGGTGCAACTTAGCCGTGCCACGGTCCTTTGCTTGGTCTGGAATCTTTTCGTCACCCCATGGAAGATATTTCCTTGGGGACAAATTAAAGCATCGGAGGCGCACTGTCGACGTTAGGAGTCAACCAATCATATCGCGCCGGAGAACCAAACGGATAGACGTGGGTTCCGAGAAGCCACCGTGGTGGAGAATGTCGGCTGGATCACGATGTTTCTACTTCTACGTAAGACCTCACAGTCCCGTAGAAAAGGTGGAAGATTAGAATCGCCATCTATATTTGAGACATCCAAATCACATTAATAAAAAAAAAAAAACTGAAACGGTACGTGAGGGTGCTACCTACATCTTAAAAATATTTTCAAAAAATTCCAATGTTTTTTTGTTTGTTTTTACTTTCAGTTTTTTTTTTTTACTGTTTTTTGCATCGGCGCTACTTGTGGTGACAAAATTGACTAGGGTGGGAACCGCTGAAGTTAGCAGACCAGCAAGTAGTTTATCTAAGGAACGTGGTAGCACGCAGAACAAATTCCAGGGGTAAGTGGCGTCAGCCCGCGGTTGAAGAGCGAAGCTGAGAAAGGAGACCATCAGGGCTATTGCAAGCACAGCAACATCATTGAATGGCGGACGATGACCGAAATTGAGATAAGGAAATCCCACAACACATGGCGGAGCTTGCTACTTTTCCGGGAATTCTACACAGTTCCGACCGTTGTGTTCTAAACCAGTTCGAGGTATGATGAAAGCTTGTGTCGTAAAAAGAATGTTATATGAAAACGTGCACAACGCGATGTTAAAAGACATGCTCAGCTTTAAAGCGTAGATCAAATTTAAGACCTTAATTTTAAAAGTCCGCTGCACCGATAGCTGTCTTTAATCTATCTAAAGTGCTATAAAAAAGAAAATTCACGTTCGAAATAATTTTATTTCAATAATAATAATAATAGTAATAATAATGATATTAATAATAATAATAATAATAATAAATAATTGTTAGAGTCAGGCTCAAGTTCCAGGTCTTGTCAAAGGGCTTGTGGGACTAGACCCAGCAGTAGCATGAAGCATATTAAAAATGTTCACACACACACACGCACACACACACGCGCACGCACACGCACGCACGCACACACACACACACACACACGCACGCACGCACGCACGCACGCACGCACGCACGCACGCACGCGCACACGCACGCACGCGCACACGCACGCACGCGCACACGCACACGCACGCACACGCACACGCACACCGATGATATCTTCTCCTCAAGGCACAGGTTCACATTTCTGTCGGTCTTGAAAATGAGCGGGAAAACAGTCTCATCAGAAAAGGATTCGCACACACACGCACATGCACAGTAGCTCGAGAATACAATAAAAACCTTATGGTGAATTCAGCTGGTAGATCTGGATCGATTTCTAAAATCTGCGAGGGAGGAGAAAACCCGCTCCTTTCGCCACGCTCTGGATCCACCAGGTGAAGATGCGGGCGCGGATTTGGAGCGGCCCAACGCCCAACCGACGTGAACGGAAACGGAAGGACGCTCTTCCCGTGAGCCTCTAGCAGTCTCCCTCCCGGCCCTCCCGTCTCCCGTGCACGATTCCCGCGCTTCTCCCTTCTGCAAGCGACAGCATGGCTGCTCCCGCTCAGCTGTCAGATCCGGCCGTGCGCCAACTGCTGCTGTCCCTCCTCGGAGGACGTGAGGCAGCTGGATACGGCAACGGTGAGTTGGCAGAGGTCCGTGCTCCGAGGTCGGCGGATGACTTTCGGGCTAAACACAAAGAGCTTTCTGCGCACGAGCGCGCGTTTCGCGACCACTAAACGACATGCTCACGTTATTATGCTCGAGTTCACCTTAGGATGTACTGCAGCAGAAGCTCTACTTCGTGTTACCTTAGTGCGGACTAACCGTCGAGGCCGTACTAGCGCGAGGCGGCAGCCTTGACCGGCGCCCTCTCTGCGCGAACGAACGCTTCATGAGCTCGGGCTTTCAGCACGTGTGGCCAACCATAGTGCATGCTTAATTTTGAGACTTGTTCACCTGCAGGATGGTGCTGTGTTTGGCTCTGCTGCTTGAGCAAGGAGCTCGAGGATGACCGCGGGTCTTCCTGTCGTAAAATGGACCGCGTAAATAGGCCAAATAAAATGAAAGCAGTGAAAGTTTAGAGTGTGCGTTTTGGGCTCAAAAAGCAGACCCTACAAGACACTGTTGTCAGCAACGACTCCTGCACTGCGTGTTCTTGAGGACGCCATTGTTTTAGTTATTACTAGTTTACTTTTTTATTCTTCAAATAACATACCTAAATTGGGATTAGAAACACAAAAGACCTGAAAGCTTAGCCAAGCATGTGATTGAAAGGGTTGCACCCGGCCTCTTAGAGTAGCCGTGTAAACCACTTTCCTTTCCCCGTTATTACATTTTATTCCCATAATGTACATCCATGAAATTGGCACATAGTAAATGCATCACTTCAAGACACCTTGAAAAACTTCACTGCTCATTAGACCCCATATGAGCCTTGCTGCAATAACATCTTAAGGCCGGTCGCATAGATGTATACATTCCTACATGCACAGCTACAGTAACTTGTGGTCCAGAGTGACTGGGTCACCGGAACCGAAACCATTCAGCATTATCGATCTGCGAATATCAAAACATAATTGAGCGTGATCAATCTCCAACCTGCATCCAGTTGATGATTCAGGGAAATGCTCTGGGTGTTCCTCTCTGGTACTCGCTATTATGGTCCCTGCTTCGGTTGCTCGATGGTAAAATCTTTCTTGATCAAATTTATAAGCCGATGCATCTCCCTCATTCAGATGCTGCCACACCTGCTGCACTCAATGAAAATACCATGACAAACCTTGGCGAACTTTTAAGCCGGGCTGGTGTTGCTCGTGACAAGCAGTGCTTGCTCAAAATATTCAGTGGAAATTTGTTCTTGGGAGCCTGTGTTAAAATGGTGATTTGACAATGCTGTGAATAACCTTACAGGCCAAATGCCTCCTCCCGTGGAAGCGCCTTCAACGGAGGAAGTCCAGGTAGCCCCCAAGAAAACAAAGAACGCTGGCTGTAAGTGATGTCATTCTACACTCTTTTTTTCCCCGCTTGGCTAGAGAAAGGGGGCAGAACATTGGGGAGATTGATTCTTTGGGGCCATGTTGGCATAAAAAGCTATGTCCAGATTCTAATTCAAAAATCTACTTTTCCCTAAGAAAGCCAGATCTCACTATGATGTCCTCATTTAAACTTTTTATTCAGGGCTTGCATGTTGCATGAACGGGGAATGCGGAGGGGTGGCAATATGAGCTGGCACAAAAAGAGTTCAGGCAGGACCAATAAAAATGGCATGTGGATATCTTGAGTTGCGTTAGGCTGGTGGCACTTGGCTGTCGGCTCATGTTGCCGCGGCGTCTGTACATATTCACACATCCAAATAAGCAAACGGCACCAAGCGTTCTATATTCGAGCCTGATCATTGAGTAAGTAGTGCCTAAAAGTGTTTCGCTTCGTTGAAAACTAACATCAACGACAAGCCCTAAGTATTACAGTAAATGACTCAATGTTCCTCTTTCAGATGCTGAGTGGACAAGTGGCGAAACGAAGCTGCTGCTTGATTACTACGAACGTTACTTTCCCCAAATTGGACCACTAAAAAAATTTAAAAACAAAAAATGTGTATTTATTAGAATCTCTGAAGACCTACAGACCATACTTAAATCACAAAAAACGCCAGAGCAGTGTAATACAAGACTGAAAACGATACAAAAGCGGAAGCGACAAGCAGTCAACTACAACGGCCGTTCAGGTGTGGGACCTGTCGACGTTCCTTATGAGGATGAACTGGATAGAATCAGCATGATGGATGACAGTATCGAGCCGGAGGTCATCAGGGACGTGCATGGGGCAACGCACAAGAAGGCTATGCCAAGCAGTCAAGCGAGGGCGGCCGCAGCAGCTGCCGCAGAAGCAGCTGCAGCAGAAGCAGCTGCAGCAGAAGCAATACCAACACCAGCCGACAGTGCCGTAGCCAGCACATCCTCTACAAGCTCAGAGGAGTCGTCCCAACCAGCCAGCAGTGCAGGCACCCCTCATCGTTCAGGAAGGGTGAACTCTGCACGCATGGAGCATATGAAGGAGTTCTTCACTGAGATGGCGAAGCTTGAGGAAGCAAGAGCAGTACGAAAAGCACGACAGGACGAGTTGAAGGAAGAAAGGCATGCAGCCAAAAGGATGATAAAGGAAGAGAAGTGTGCAGCCAAAAGGAAGCTAAAGGAAGAGATGCGGCTGGAACGACAAGAAATGCACCGAGAGAAAATGCGGCTTCTCGCCATGCTTGTGACCCAGCCTGAGACGAAACAGGATTGAAAGAATTTTTTTACAATAGCTGTATTCTTGACATGAGTGCAATAAATTCATAATTTGCAAGTGGGCCTTCCTTCTAATCTGAAGTGGATACTTCAAAAGATGGTTAGGTAAACTTACCTTAAAAAGTATTCGAGCATACAAATTCTATGATCATGGCAACGGCAGCTTAAATACTGCGAATAAAACACAACGAAAAGAGAGCATTTGCCTACATACCACACAGATACAGGAATATATTCACTGGAAGCAGAAATATCTATTGAAATTTCATTTCATTTTTATTTGGATTTTCACCAGCAATGCCGGGTAGGGGGAGGCAAGGCAAAAGGCATTTCTGCCTGATGGGCCCCCATCCCCTGTAAAGTTCAGAGCAGCACGCAGAGTTCATTTGCCAAGCTAAAAAAATACGGCAGCAAACATGTTCCATGACTAAAACGCAGAGCAACCTAAAAATAGCAATACGGTTAAAATAAAATTGTGATAAAATTAGACGCAGAAACAACAGTAACACTTATCAGCTCTCAGTTGCTTTTTAAAAAGTTACAGTTTAAACGGCAAGAAGAGACATAAAAATATGGACAGTCAAGGATGAATATATTTCACACAAAACAAAATTGTCATGAGAACGAAACAAGAACATGGTCTAAAGCACAGCAGAAGACTCATTTCAGATCTGCAGGGGAGAACTGCGATAAAATCGGAAGCACAAGCAACATCAACGCTTGTCACAGCCCTTTGTTGCTATGAAAATAATAGTCTGAACGGCAAGACGAGACAAAATTTGGACAAATAAAAAATAAAATATTTCACGCAAAACCTAAGTGGTCATCAGAAGAAACAAGAACAAGTAGAAGACTCATCCCAGGTCCGCACGGGAATGGTGACATGGTGAAGTAATGTTAAATATATACACACCACAGTCACATTGTGAATGTATATTGTGGATCACTCTTCGCATTGTCATGGTACAGTGAACCGGTACTCTATGGTTGAATCTGAATATGCAATCCTTAACCTGTCTACCGACAGTCTTTATCAAAAGCCCAAATCCCATGGCTCGCTGGTCGGCGCAAGCTCGCTCTCGTACTGTAGTGTTGCTAACGTTGGGGGGGGGGGAAGGGGTCATGCTACAAACTCCACTACCTGTTACCAAGGCCACTGCCTGTCTACGAAATGGGGCCTTGCCAGCGCAAAAAAAAACTATCACAAAAAAAAAAAAAAAAGAATTGAAAGGAATGTTATGTTACATTGATGGGGAGGGAAAAAGCAAGAACTCGGGCAGACGCCCCTTGTCCCCAAGACCTACATTCTACAGGCCTCCAATGAGGTTGTGAAAATAAGCTTGCGAGTTTCCGTGTCCGGATGGCGACTCATCTCAGCCCCATTTGTGCAATGACCCTGTCCCTCTTCTCCTCTCCAAGTCTGCGGAGGATGGAATCTGTGGCCGTCATGGGCCCAAACTCCTCCAGGGAGTCAGTGTCTGGGCGTCTAGCCTCCCCGTCTTCGGGGTCCTCCACAACGCTATGCTCTCCGGCCTCAATGCAGAGGTTGTGGAGGACGCAACAAGCAATAATGAACTTTGCTGAGTGGTCCACAGTGATGAATTCGAGGAGCTTTAGCTGCCTAAAACGCTTTTTTAGGTCAGCGAAAGAGTTCTCTATCAGCACACGAGTGCCCGAGAATTTCAGATTGAAATTCCTCTGCTTTGCGGTCAGACGACCGTAATCCCGGAAGGGAGTTAGCATATACTCTCTCAAAGGATACGCCGCATCGCCGAGGATGTGGTATTGGCTCCTGCGGCAGATCTCTGGTAGCTTGTCTGCAATGCTTGATGTTCGATACACCCTGGCATCATGGACCTTGCTTGGGTGTCCAGTAGTTACATCCAGGAACCGCTTGTGGCGGTCACAGATTGCCTGCAGTGTCAACGACGGGTAACCATGCCGGTTGACGTAAGTCGACCGGATCTTTTTGGCTGGGCACTCAATGGCGATGTATGACCCATCGATGCACCCAATTGTGCCAGGGACACCGGATACCTGCAGCAAGAAAGGTAGACAAAAGTTTCTCTCGGTGTTCTGAGATGTTTTGTCAAACGAAACAGAATGACGGTTAGCGTCAAATTTGGTTTAAATTGTTCCACTGTTATATCCTCGGTGTCTAGTAAGTTACTGACAACAAAAGAATTAAAACAAACTCGGCAAGTGGGATGACGAACACATCTTTTAACTAGCAGCTGCATGAGTGAATTCTCAAGCATTCTTCGTGGTCAAACTGAACCAAAAAAAAAAAGCGTGAAAGGGACGAGGAAAGTGCGAACTACAAAAATCAAAATCAGAAAGAAAATATTGAGCCAGAAAAAGCTATTTAATCAGCTGGAAGCTGATTTGCAGCCATGCAAGCTTCCGAGTCCCATCTTTAGACAGGAACAGCGATGGTGCGGATACGTTATTGTCAATTGCTCTCATGGTGAATAATTCCATGATTTCCTTGCCCATCTGCTCTCTCGCCTTCCCAAAATTCACTAGGCTCATATCTCGGGTATAGGCAACCTGCAATGCAGTTTGGCGCTGCACGTTGCGCCATCTAGCGGCTGCAAAATAAAGAAACTGGGTAGGCCAGGCCCGCGCGAGTCGCGGGTGCAGCGGGCGGGCGGCGCATCCAGAAACCACGTGTGAACGTTGCATTCCGGGTCGGCGTGAGCTTTTTTTTTTAAACCGTTTTTCATAAAAGTAAGTCCCAACTTCACGTCTCTACGACCTCACCGGGTTCCTGTAACATCTCGCCTACTCTTATAGTTCCCCCAAAAAATAAACGTTGCTACTGCTGCGTGAAAGACGGCCACAGTCGCGAAGGTGACTCAAGCGTCAAACTTCACCACTTCCCTTCGAGATCTTGGGAAGCGAAAGCGACACGGCGACAGAAGTGGATTACTGCAGTGCGACGCATCAAGTAAGTGAATTTTACAGAAACTCTTGGGGGGGACGTGAACGAAAATATATGTGCAGGCTCGGAAAGTGGTCGGACGAACTCGTTTTGCAGACTACTCGGCAAAATAACATATTAAAAGTTGTATTACGAGTTGCTTTGACAGCCACATAGGGAAATACGATAGGAACAATCGGGCCGATTGTTGCTTTGCTGTGACGTCAAGAATCGGGCGATCAGGTCTTCAAGCGAAAGGCTCGTCGGCCCGTTCCGGCACCCCTAATGCCGTTCGGCACGCGTGGTCACAACCAAAACCTTCCAAACCTGCGAGAGTAGATTTTCGTAGCACAAAGTTTTGTTTGTTTCAGCAACCAAATTTAATGCTGAGTCTGGTAACAAATGTGACGGCGTGCAGAAAGCAGGCTGGTAATGTTTTTGTTTGGCAAAAGCTCGTGCGAAGCGTAAATATCCTTCCACATACTTTGTTGCCTGTCGCCTTTTTACACCAGGCTTTGCGATGTGCATACGGTTATGTAGCATGCTGAGTTCCAAATTTTATTCTAGCGTGTGTGGCCGTCGGGAGGAGAGGACGGCCCAGCGAGGCGCGAGCGGGGCCAGCCGGCGAGGAAAGAGGAAGAGCGTGCTGCACGAGGCTGGGACTGGGCAGGAACGATAGAGCCGTTTTGGCTGGTCTGACCCATGGCGATTCCCGGGGGCATTCCACCAGCGAAGTGCGGGTCAGGACTGGCGGAAGCGGCGAGCCCTGGCCATACCGGCCTGGGCTATGACGATCCCGTAGTGGTTCCGCAGCGAGACTCTGAATGTGATAGCGCGGAACAGCTAGCCTACGCAGCACTGGCGTGGGAAGGACGATCCGCAGGCCTGGACACGGGCTCCGACTGCGAGTTCTGAACGACGGGCGACAACTAGGGTTGGCGGGTCCGGACTGCCGGCTCTCGAAGACGGGCAACCGGGATGTACAATAAACCTATTCGCTGCCTTCTCGTTGTATTGTGTCACTTCCTGGGAGACGAGCGAAGCACAGACCGATCGGGCGGCCACAAGTAGTGAAGACAACTCGAACTGGTGTCCAGATGACGACTCTAGAATATTCTCTAAACACTTGAACCTATCAAGACTCCCGATGGTCTTAAAAAACCGCATGAAAAAAACCAGGGACGCACGCAGGTGCACACGGGGACTGCTGAAATCGGGGCCACTGCCGCTCGCAACGGCCCGGCGGGCAGATAGGCCGCCCCATTAACAGAGGCGCCTCCGCTTGTGGCGCTGAATGCAGTACTATCGTGGCGCCGCCTGGCCATTGCCGGCTGCCTATAAGACTCCTATTAGCAACAATAAGTCTCGCAAGCGGCCTTCTGGGAGCCTGTTGGAGTGATGCCACGGAAAGAAGTTTTTCCTAGTTACTTTGCAAATGGTTGCTAATATTTTTGCTGTTTTTAGTACCACATTTAGGTGAAGGTGCAGAGACCATTCAGTGATTGGCGACCGCAGAGACACATGCTCGTTTTCAAAGCTAGTATACCCAATTAAAAGTTCCTGTAAGCTCCCTACTGTTGAGGTGCAATGATCACCAGCACTACCTGTTTGGCCTCTGTTTATGGAGTGTTGTTTTATCCGTCTATTACTATGCCTATGGTTAACTGTGCTCTTTCTGACGAGACTTGCACAAAGTACTTTTGGCCGAACGCAAAGAACTTTGCCATGCATTGCAATATTCGCCAACGTATGAAGATGTCATCTGCAGCGCCACTTCGACTGCTGCAACCGATGAAGGTCGCTCTCCAATTTACACGGTGTGGTTAGATACTGTTGGACCGTTCAAGACATCTCGTGGATGGATGGATGGTAATGACTATACCCTTTGTAATGGGCGGCACCTTGTGCCACCTACCCCTAACTCATATTTGATATATTTGTAGCACAAGGCTACAAATATATCATATATCAGCCTCCTCACGAAATTCGTGCGGTAGTGCACACTGCACAGCCTTTTTGAGGAGATACAGCTAGAATAATTGAATCATGGTACAAACCTCTTCAAAGTCTCTTGACAGGCGCTCCAGATCCTCGGGGAACTTGATGAGGCGCGGTCCGATGCTCAGGATGAAATCCAGAACTCGATCCATCATGCCGTGAAGCGTGCTCTCACCCAGGTTGAAACGTCCGGCAACGTCTCTGATGCATGCTTTGTTAGCCGCGTACCTGAGTTGTGTACATAGAATGAAAACAAAAATCGATGGGAGTGAACACGG